CAAGGTAAGGTTACATATCAAGAGCCAGTAGCTGCTGCTGTATTGTAATGTCCTAAAAATGTATCCGATTGATAAAATGACTACATGCAAGGAGATCTAATAGACCAATTTCGAGATATTAAAATTCATACTTGGCTCCGAGGCTTGGGGGAATAAAACAATCGAAATCACATTGAGGTCCGGCGTTGAATTATTCATTTCTTTTGTTTTATCCCCCCAAGCCTCGGAGCCAAGTATGAATTTTAACATCTCGAAATTGGTCTTTTGAGCAAGGAACTTTTATTTATTGTTAAATATACATTTCTTTTAACAGCTGCACAAGAGGATGAAATTGAAAGTGATGATGGCGGAGATCTCTGGTGTTATTGTAGAGATATAGAACATGGGTAAGTCTTTCTGATCAAGAACGTAAATAAGGCAATTAGTGTTGCAAGTTTCAATTCTACTTTTTCAATGTATTTCGTGTTTTGTCGCGCTCTCTCACTAACTTTGTGAATAAGGACTAATAAGAATGTTTTTATAGTTCCTAATGGTTCCTTAACTTGTACATAGTTTATTCCTTTATATTGTTCGATTGCCTTTGTACTTTTCTCAAACAGAGGACTGGGTGTTGTGATTTTTTTTTGCCGACTTATGCTATTTTTTGTTATTTTTCAGGTTCATGATTCAGTGTGATTCTCAAGGCCCGTCATGCTTCATTTGGTATCATGGGCCATGCGTGAAGATATCCAAGAAAAAAGGACTGCAAATGGAAATCACAAACAACCCTTTTATTTGCTACAATTGTCATTGAGCAAACCTTACTTTAATTCATCCTTAGAACTTGTAATGTAAAGCATAGCTTGCAACGCAGGCTGATTTAGATCAAATTAGGTTTCCAGCCTGACAGTGAATTTTGTTATCTGTCCTCGATTTATGACAAACATAAATAGCTTTCTCAATGGATTTTTTATATACACACGGGGCAGACCACTATCATTTCCTGTTTATAGTGTTATTTCTGAATCATCTAAAAGTAGTTCATAGTGTAATTGATTTTGGGAGGTTTCATCCTTTGTGCGCTTTGCTTGGTGGTGCATTTAAAAACAGTATACCTTATTATAGGAAATTAACGCTCGTGTTAATTAACGTATTGGAAATAACCGCGACTTAAAATTAACACGATTTGAAGGTAAATTTGCTTCCAAATAATGGAGATTAACGCGAAAGAAGGGGGAAATATTCTAAATAAAGGAAATTAAAGTCAGCTACACCAAAACGGCTTAGGGACTTGTCAGAAATTAGCAGGGGGGGAGGGGGGG